TTCAAAATAAGGAATAAATTCTATATTATGAAGGTGGCAACCTTTTGTTTTTTAAGAAAGTTCTTTAAATGAGCTAAACACTGTCGATTTAGATATCAGTCAAGCTGAAAAACTTCTTGATTTGAACAGTGACACATCTTTTAAACAGAGTTTCAAAACGGAATATTAATAAATTTTCCCATATAATTGTTAAAAGACGGGAAATAATAATAATATATTTAAAAGAAATTTTCTATGAAGTAACTCATAGAAAATTATCGTGTTTAGCTCATGCCACACTTTAAACTGTTATAATGTGCTTCTTTGTGAATCACAGCAACTTCTACTTCATTCAAAGCCAATCCCCCCACCTTCCTGCCCGATAAAAAAGCTTGCTTTTTATCAAAGCCAACATAAGTCTATTCATGTCCTTTGAATTAGTAAAAACTGAGAACATTTTATAAGGCTCATTCATTAACTAAAGTAACTTAATTCCCAGTGACTGAAATTTAGCAACAACAAAAAAATTATATATCTGCTCCAAAATCTGCGGTACATTTATGAAGAGAACTCCAACAGCTGAGTATGACAGAAATGCTGAACTTTGAAGTGCTGTACTAAGTGCTGCTGATAGTACAGGTCCTAAATGATAACCACACTAAAAATTAAAATATCTTTAGCGCAAACAGAAAACCAATTGATCAAAAGGTAAATTAAAAATGTAGAAACATATTTCTCAATGCACATTCAAAATATGAAAAGTCTACCTCTTTGCAGTTCAAAAAAAAAAAAAAAAAAAGGACAGAAATGATACATAATTATAGGAAAAGAAATCATATGAAGAATGGATGGATTCCAAGTCATTGCACATAAAGTAACAAAGCACTAATCACAACTGCTTCAGCAAAAACCTAAACCTACGTATCATTCCAACAGCTGATCTCAACGATAGAAAGTGAATCGGACATACTCATTCTTTTTTTTTTTTCACACGCAACAGCATTCTTACAAAGACATTCGTACCTATGATATGTTAATAATGATTTTTATAACTGCCCAGCAAAATTCAGCAAGCCAAGTATGTGATGGTGTGTGTATTCAACCCACAGGATTGCAGTGTGACACCATGGCCAATGATAAACCAACACACCAATAATTGTCAGTTGATGGTTAAAAAACCGAGCAATGATCTTGGTGCTTCAGTGTGATGGCGCCATTCTGGTTCCTATTTCATATTAGTAACAAAAGGAACCACATCATTTTGGGTAAGCAGGCATCAGTTCTCCAGATACCTAAAAAAAACCCCTGAATATTCTTAATAAATAGTCTGACAAAAAAAAAGAAGAAAAACCTCATTTCTTTTTCGTTTGTTTAAAAAAAAAACATTTCTAAGAAAACCAGCGGTGCAACACACATAATTGAAAACTAATTACTGTGATGAAATAAAGAAAATTTTTAATTAATTGTCTTTGCCTTCAAGACAAAGTGCTTAACACAACAATACATTACATTAAAATAGAGAAATAAACTAACGAAAAAATCCAGGATAGACTGTTATTAAAAAGTCAAACATGCATTTTGCTTCTATGACTCCTAGAAGAAAAAGAAGTGTCAAAATGCACCTTTTGACTTCCCCGACTTCCCCGAAATGTGTCTCTGACTCACAGCCCCAGCACACGTTCATCTCATGATGAATGGCAAAAATATTGTCTGAATGACAACATAGCAAACAGAACTCACACGCTAACAGCAAAACAGAGCCTTTTCTACAAAATGTCAAGCAAAAGTTACTTTCCATATCACAATCTTTGACTTTGTTTTGTTTAAAATTGATCACATTTTTTTGGGGAGTTGTATTCCGCACAAAAGTAAAAAAAAAAAATAACTGTAGAAGTGCAACATCTCATTGACACAATTTAGATCTTAGTGAGGTGGGCGTCGACCCTGCCTGGTCAGGACCAGCTTCGGATGACAGAGATACAATGTCCTAGCGGACAGGTGGAGGTACTCCGTAAAAAACCCCCCCTCCAATTCCCCACAAAAGAACCAAACTGTCTTCTACATGCCACACCGAAGTGCCAGACCATTACATCACAGTGGCCAGTACAAATAGCACAACATAGTGCTATGTTTACATCCCTCTACCCCCCAACAAAACAACAAAAAACAACCCCCCCCCACCCCAAACCAAAAGCCCCATAAGTCGTGTGTACATATCGATAACATTTCTCTACAACTTAGTTCTGTATAATGTATGAAGTCTGTAATGGAAAATGACTTTTGAGCCCACTTTAGAAGAAAGAGAGTAGCTGCTGAAGAAAGGCAGTGCCATGGGGGAAAAGATTATGTACACTACATAGAAGAATACAAGAAACTGCCCCAGATTTACTACTGCAGACACAGGGTTCAATGTCACCTCCCTTTTTTCTTACAAAAGAGAACATTCTATCTCAATTCTATCTTTAAAAAGTCAACAATGGTAAGGACTAAAGGATGATTTACCCCTGCGTATATAATTGTTGACATAAAAAGAAAACCCCCCAAAATAAACCATAATCTAACCTTAACTCATTCGGGACGCAGGTTTTGGACCGGATTTGCACCGAGAGATGCGCGATTTTGGGTCAACTTTGAAAGTCTGCTATTTTTTCCCTTTTTGATATTTTAAAAGTCTGTTTTCACTATCTACACATTCAACATTTGGACTTTGCCTTAGATCTGACCGAATTTGCCTGGATATATTCCTAAATTTGCCAGGGCCGCTACAAAAATGGTGTATGAGACATAAAAAAAATAATTTTTCCTTTAAGTTGACAGTGCAAAAATGCAGAAACAAACAAGATAAAGTTACAACACAACTATAATGCAGCTAAAAACACACCACAACACAATTTACAGTCTAAATATTGTGAAGAAATAGTTTAAGTTATTGTGAATAGTCATTCTTTGTATGGTACTCCTCAAAGATCCGTATTCTTTGTCACCCCGACTGACTTCATAAATCGCCACAGAAAATGACAAAAGACGACGCTATACGATCAAAACTAAATAAATACAGAATAAAATATGGCTTAGCAATGTCAACCAAAAATTTGTTCCCTGGAATACCTTCATTTGTGCGGATACAACGGTCGAGAAATGCTATCGGATGTATACGTCCGATGTGTCTCCAGCGGAGCTCAAGGCTATCGTACATATATGTCCGATGGGTCCCGAATGAGTTAAGTTTGGTTTTTCTAGTACTATAAAGGAACCCTCTATACTGCTTCCCAGAGAGTGATATAGAGCAATAAAAAATATAGCCAAAAGCCAAGAAAGAAATTTAAAACATACAGTTTTCATCAACCAAAGCCTCAACTAAGCAGTCACTAAGCAAATGAAAAATGAAACATTACAGCAGGAAAAGTTGTACGATTCATAGCAAGATGACATTCGAGTAGAAACAAAAGGAATATGAAACAAAAGGATATGTTAGCATTTGGTGAATCTTGTTTCCTCCTTTTCCACTCTATGAAAAGCATTAAATTCAAGATTGATTATGTAACAAAAACACACAAAGATATGTAACCCTGGAATGTTTCAAGCAGCTTGACATCAATTGAAACAGAAAAATACAGTCTCCCCCCCCCCCCCCCCCATATCACACATCTCCATCCCTTCAAAATAAGTACCAAAAAATGCACATACAAGTACACACCCACACAAACACACCCACAAAAAAACCCACCCAAACCAAAACAACTAAACACAACCGATCCACATACAAAAAAAAGTTCAACAAGCACGCGTACACAGGAAAAAGAGACAAGATATCTACGTCTGCACAAAGTCAATATCACAAAATTTGGCAATGTTTAAACCCTTACAGCACCACGCTGCTTTTTTTTTTTTTAGCCCTCACTTCACTTTAGCCCAGGTAACACTAGAGTCCTTGAGAGCTCAGACTCAGTCAACATTGGTTGTCTGCAATTTTTTCCGTGAACATTAAAATAATTCCTATACTTTTTTTGTTTGAACTTTTAGGGGATAACGTAAGGAATATTTTACAGAGACGATATAATACAGTAGAACTGCGCAACTGGGTATGGATTGGAAGGCATCCCAAGAAAGAAGTGTATGTATGACTGGGCCTGAGGGAACAAGAACTTGTAAGAGAAATATATGCCACAAGGGCTGTAACGGTGGAACAAAATTCAGACCATGGGACTTGACTGACCCACTGTTTGTCCCAAGCACAATCATGTTTGTGTCTAGTAAGTATTTGACCTTTTTCTTATTTCTGCAGCATAGTAATGGACAAATTACTTTAGGACTAATAATTTTGAATTAAGTTTTGAAGAAAGACATTGTTGTAAGACATAATGTGTTGTCGCAAATAAAAGGAATAACTTAAATTTAAAACCCTCTCCTTTTACAATTCCATCAGAGTATGAACTTTCTGGCAACAGTGACGATTTTTCACAACCTGCTCTAGTAAGTAAAACCGAGAAGTATAATTTAGATGAAAAGAAACAAGCAAAATAAAACAAATACCCCCCCCCCCCCCCCACCCTATCATTGTTTCGATGAAGTTGGTACTATTTAGGTCTTAAGAATTGTACAGTAAAAGAAAAGGCTTGAAATCACCAGATCAATGGTAAAGACATTTCGCAATTTCTTGTCGCATCTCCATTTTTTTAAACAGTGAAAACAGTTTATAACAAAGAGTGAGCTTAACAAGAAGTCACATTTTCAATGTAAAAAAAAAATGAAGATACGACAAGAAAGCACTGAGGTCGCGATTTGGTAAGAACATGGATTACGGTAAATGGTGAGGAAAAATATGCAAAGAAATAACAATAAAATGGAAACTACTTACAATACACAATTCATCGACATAAGTTAAAAAGCTTATGACTGAACTGGAATGCAAATATTTGGATTTCGACTTCCATCAAAGAATTGATAAATACCATTTTCATTCATGTATTGTCAATCCAGTAAAATACAGCATTACCGTAAATGAATTAATTTTTTTTTTCATGACACAGAGCATAAACAACCTTAAGAAATGGCATATTGTAAATGGTTTGGAATCACAACACAGTCAACAGACTTCGTCTTGGTGACATTCTTTAAAACTTTCCAAAATGTCTCTTTTCAACAGAGTAAGGTGTCGAGCCGCAGTACTAGAATGTGAATCAAATACCAAGAAGACAGAATGAAATAAAGATCTTTCAAGACAGAGCTATTTAAGATTATCGCTATTGAATTTAAAGACATCATCTCTCTTTTAGTACCAGCCTGTCCACAAGAAAATAAAGCAAGGTTCGGTAAGTGAGAATCTAGCGGGGCCTCTCTTCACAAAGGTCTAACCACAGAAGGCAAAATAACAAGTTATATGAACACTGACAGTGAACAAGAAAGTTTATAATGCTTCAGGTTCTTTTATCCGATAAGACTGCCTTGCCTAGATAATAGACTGCTGTGTTTGTCATAACATGTGTGCCCACGTAGTATGAAGTAAAATGATGTACAGTTAAATTGCAAAATGTGGTACTGTAGACGAAAGGAAGCATTACTCATGATGGTCACATCAGAGAAAACCGTCCTCCAAGATTTCAGTGAAATTTTTTAAAATACAGTGTAGGCCCTAAATAAATAGGCAGCAAAGCATTTTGTTCAGTATTAACAACAATAAAATTTTCACATTAGCCTGAGCTATATGATATAGCTTTAAAAGTGGTAGAAGTAAATACTACAGACGAACCATATTTTGGCATTTTAGTATAGGTTGAACAGTCTAAGTAGCTTTATATACCACTGCAATTAACTCAAAAAGAGTTGAAACCCCCCAAAAAGTTCACTTTGCAAAAAGACATAAAACTAAAAAATGTATTCTAAAGTGAACTTGCGGGCCAGTAATTTTTCAGTACTTTCACCTTTATATTCTGTATCCCCCCCTCCTCAAAAAAGAAGGCATGCTGCACAGTAAACTGTCAAGGTCAGCAATATTTTCCACATGATTCGGGAAAAAAAAAGATGGTTTAATTATTTTTTTTGCTATAGTAATTTGAAAAGAACAAAGTTAAGATATTAAGTTATTTTGGACGTAAGATCATATGAATTATTTTATGACAAATATCAAATTTAAATACGCTTTGCCATTTTTGGTACTTTTCCTTTCATATATAAATTTCCAAAAAAAATCTTTCTTTGTCTTAACACATGTGCACCAATACAACATAAGTAGTACTTTTTAAGACGAAATTAATAAATATGCCAGGGGAAATGGACAAATGTCAATAAATACAGAGATCCCACAATAAGGGGAATAACTACGGATCCAACATCGATCAGCATGTACAAGCATTATGCTGCCATTGTTAGAACTTGAAGTACCATGGCCCTAGCATTTACACAAACAAAGAGAGAATGATCATAGCACTGTAAATCAGAGAAGCTCCAACAGTCTACAGACTGATTATCCTGCTGCACACTGACAGTAAAAAAACTGCATCTATTCAAAAGGCTGCTTTTGAGGACAAACAACTTGATTCAACACTTTACCAAGTTACAGTACCGGTATTGGTATCTTTTACCATCTCCTCAGAAAAAGGCAGAAAGTCTACATTCCAGTCATTGCTAGCTCGCACACTATGCATTCGCTTGCAAAATCTGGCCATAGGAAGTTGAGGCTTGCGGCATCAGGCGGAGGCAGGAAGTGGGTATATTTACCATCAGCAGGAATATATCAGGTCAGATACTAGCATAAAGGTACAACATGTGTGGATCAGAAGTTAATAAAGGTGATGGAACAAAAAGAAAAACACAGCTCACGCGATTCGACCAATATCGGAGGGGCTCATGAGCTGGAAAATCTTGTTCGACATGCTGAAATGTAGAGACCCAATCTACACTAGAAAGAGCCCCGAGCCCACAATAAAGAGAGCCCCAAACATGGGCACGAGAGCCCCTCGCACACAAGAGAGAACCCTGAGCCCAGATTACAGAGCCCCAACAGCAAACGAAGCTGATTCTGCTCCCACAAAATAAGCAGGTGACAGTGTACAACCCCTGCCAACATCAGGTACAACATGGATGTGCTGGTACATTATGCCATGGAAGGACAGAGTGGACAGGCATATCACTCAAAGTTGAAAAATTGCACAAGTTTATAGACAGTGACAAAAAAAGTAAGCTTTTATAAGTACAAGTTATAACACTGGAATGTCTTTCTGGTATGGCCACCAACAGGGAGAGTTTGTAAAGAACAAAGATCAGAAATGTGAAAATGGCCCTGCTTCAAGTGGAATGAAAACACTTGCCCCAGCTTTGCATATTATTCTAAACAAAAGATTCTTTGAACCACAATAGGATTTCATTAGCATCGCAAACACAGATAAAAAGGCTGTTTCTTCCAACTTATATGTTCATGACAGGCATGAAAATATTCTTTCAAGAATAATCTGTTCTAATCCCCCCCCCCCCTCCACCTTCTTTCCCAACTCCCATCATAAAAGCACACAAAAAAGACCAAAAATAATCATCACAACCCATATATCAATAAACAAGACAATGCAAACTTGGAACTCATAGTAACAAAAAGCTGTTCTTTCTGCAAGACCCTTTGACAAAGAAACCATGGTCAATGTGTTGTTCACAGCAGTTATAAAACTCGACAAAAAATAAAAAATAATTTGTCCACAATGAAGCACAGTTAGCAAACAACACTTGTAATTGAAAAAAAAGTCCATAAAAGACTGATATAGAAACATAAAGTTACAATGACAGCTACACTACTCCTCTCTGAAAGTGTAATACATTTTTAGATAGCACTACATAAAAAGGCTGTGTACAGATGGGACTCATACTGAACAAGACTACGATGGATTCATATCACCCCGACAGATCACAGTTTAATTTCTGTTGATAAACATGACTTACTTTCCTTTCTTTAGTTTGTGGTAGTTATTGATGTAAATTCATTTTCCTTTTTTGTTAAGAGAGGGTTGTGTGAATTTGACCATACTTGTCATATAAAAAATCCATAATTACATTGAAAAGAAAATAAAGCAACCTCCAAGTTCCTTACAGCACACACGCAGCAATGTATATATATAGACAGTCTGATAGAAGACGGTAAGGACCAGTAAAAAGGAGGAAAAAGAAGACTTTGTGTGTGCATTGTATGCATATCAATGTGTGCTTGTCGGCGTACATGTGTGTGTGTGTGAGTGTGTGTGTGTGTGTGTGTGTGTGTGTTTGTGTGTCTGTGTGTTTGTCTGTGTGTGTGTGTGTGTGTGTGTGTGAGCGTGTGTGTTAGTGTGTGTATATAACAGTGTTCATGACGAAGAGTGTGTGTGTGCTGTTTTTAAATGCATTTGTTCATTAGAGCAAGTATTTGAAAAGTTTTCATTTGTGCATGAGGCTGCACATGCATGTATGCTATTATGTGGAAGTGTCTGATGGAAAAATCTAATGAGATGATGATGAAGCTGATGAGAACAAGGATGAAACTAATGATGGTCGCTGGCACAGCAGGCTGTCGTCTCCCTTTTTACCCAGGCCATCATTCACAGGCAAGCTTGCCGTCAAAGCTGCTAAGTGCAATGCCGAACGCTTGCAGAGCGCACATGGGGTAATTGTAGTCCATGGTGAAAACATCCTCTGCCACACGACCAAACTGCATCACAATGTAGTCCACTGAGGTAGAAAGAAGGCAGGAGTTCGTTTGAATAAAAGAGAAGTATTAACTCTTGGAGCTTAGCACGTCTACAGATAAGATACTGTATTATTGTTTTTAGCTTGTTTTCCTCATTCACCAGAAATATCTGCCTAACTGTACTGCACCTATGTCTTCATATATATATCAAATCTTTCTTCTCTTGTAGCTTGAAAGTTTTCTTTTTCATGCTGATGAGGGTAATGTATAAAGGGCTCAAACGTTTCAGTAAAAAAAATGGCATGAGTTTATTGCCCATTTCAACACTGTAGGGTTACACTTGTTCATTGAAACAAGTAAAAACTCTATAACTGTTATGATTCACATTATTACGAACAAATAAACATTCTAGCCATTCATAACAGTTTGTATCAATTGCAAATAACATCACCAAAATGATTTAAAAAATCATTCTTGTTACAATTCAATTCTTCTTGCTCCTTAAAAAATTGCACCTATTCCCAGATTCTGTGGCACTGACACAACTTGTGTCAGACCAATACTACAGTTTAAAGGCAGAGAAATGTAACTGGAATTTTCAAGATTTTCAGAGAAAAACAAAAAACTTTTGACACTTAATCTGCTGAAAGTTATAAATGCCTCTCAACATGGTTGTGCAGAAATTTAGATACATCACTCTTCCATCGACAACATTAAGGAGATCAGTTATTCCCATAGCTTTATCATTTTGAAACTACTATTTCCAAAGTAGATACATCTTTGATACAAGAAGAATAAGAGCAAGACTAGTGTAACAAACCAACAGAGCTAACAAATATCCTCTATTTTGTCAGATACATCTCTATGTCTTGGGAAGACACTGAAGCCCACAAGCTGCACACATCCACATGTGGAAGTGGAGCTTTTAAATGTTCAAAATGTGGCAAACTTTTCTCTGCCAGAATTGGTCTCATCCGTCACTGCAGAAGCCACAAATCTATTAACCTTTAAGTCTTCTATTTTATTGGAGAAACCTTCTTCTTTGCAGAAGTATTGGTTATCGTCAGACATTGATGGATGAGCTATTATTATCAATATTGTTACAAGACATTAACTTTTCCTTTCAAAGGACAGATATACTGAAGGAAAACACACCACACTGCACTTACCATCATTATCATGGACAATTTGAAAGTTTTTCACAGAAGCCTGAGTTACCCTCCCGTGAAAGTTGAGCACATACGATTGTGTATCTGGGGATGGATGAAATAGAGTAGCTATTTTTAACAAACAAGATCTTATTTTACATAGAACTGGTCATCAAAAAGATGGAGCACTCGGAGACCAGACAGTACACAACACTGACAAGAAATTATGAAAAGTGAATAAGAATAAGAATATTCTGTTTGTCAAGATTCAAATGACTTGGACGTCCAACTCACATGCCTATCAACCAACTAACCCTAGCCTTATTCACAAAAATTCCTGGCTACCAGGCAAACGTAGACTGAGGGAACAAAGGACACCTTAAAAGCTCACAATTTTTGGCTCAAGGAGCTTTTCAATTTGCGAAGACCTGGCATCTCTACCTTGCCGTGATACCTCAAGGAATATCAGCAGATGAAGTACCCGGTATTGTAGTAGAATATCTGTATGTTCCCCAGGGGAATTGAAAAGGTAATTTGGAATGAACAGGCTGGCCAAGGAAGTCATTGTCAAGTCATCTATGCCTTCAAAGAGATAAATGAACATAAAGAGGCACTTCAACTCTTCTTATCGGAACTCTGTACAGACTGAAACTTCAGAGTTTTCTAAAAATAAAAGGGAACAGCCTGAAAAAAAGAAAACAAAGAAAAGAAAATCAACTTAAGAGTTTGAGCACATTAAAGCCACCATGAAAGTTGAAAGTAAAAAAAGAAAAAAGACAAGTTTATAGAGGGTTGTTCCTCAGACAGAAAAACGATAGAAATCTCGTCCTTTTTCTCTTCTTACTTTATATTTTCCTTTGTTTTTTAAGGGGAAAGAACCAGTTTTCTTCACGGTTTCATTTCCTTCTTTTCCCCATTTCCCCCCAC